GGGGGGGGCGGGAGCCGTCCTTCCCTGCCTGCTTTGAAACCTCTCTCTGAAACTTTCCCCGTTGCGTCCAGTGCGCGCGGGGCGAATCCATCGGCCTCCTGAACACACACCCCTTGGGAAGAGAATCCGCTCCCTTTGGCATCCCCGAGCGCCGTACACCACAGAGCCACACGCTGCGCTTTCAGGATGCCTACGACTCAAGCATTCCGCTGACGAAATTTGAACTCAGGGTCTCCCTGGGCTCGTGAAGTAGACCGATCGGGGCTAGCCTGCCAGGCAGAACCAGCCCCCGTTACAAAGGAACGAGAAAGAGTCAATTTCCCGCACAGCGTGGCACCGGGCTCTGCCTGCGCGCAGGAGTTTCGAGCAGAGGCGAAGCGGCAGGGGGGAGAGATTATATTTGCTTATCTGAGATTAAAATGAAACGCGGGAAGGGATTGGCATGGGAACAGATGAGGTTCGCTTTGGGCCTCCGATGAGGACAAACCTCCTAGATCATGTACCCGGGAAGAGAGGAGGTTAAAGGCTGTCCCACGGATTCACTCCGGATCCAAAGAATTATTGATCAGGTGTTACCTACATTGCAGATTTAACTGGAGAAATGCAAATGAAACGAGCGGACAATTCATTCCCTTACAAAATACCCTGCACACATACACGTGCCCAATACTACTAGGGGGGTGTTTCATTACGTTGTCTTCTAGCAACTGTCTTCACCCCCACCCAGAATTCCTGTGATGCTCCCGAAATTGTGATGGTTCTAAAGGAGAGATTCATAACTTTCTTTGGGGATGAGAGCTTTTGCGTACCTTTTTCTTGCGACCCAGTGTATGGTTCATTTAAAACCCAGCACCAAAAAAAAAAAAAAGCGCCACTCAGTGCATTTTGTCTAATGTCCGGGCTGGAAAAGCAGAAATAACCATTGGGATTCTATTTGAAAAAAGACCGAGTGTATAGTACATTTAACTATGTCCATGCTGCAAGAGAGCTGAGATCGAGCTCTGGGGCTACTTTTAAAATATTCTTGCCTTTTTCTGTTTGGGATTTGAATAGGATGGAAAAGAGAAAAAAAAGTCACACCACAATTTTTGTTTCCTGGATGGTGCGTCTGTCCATCATAAAAACCAGCCCGCCCTCCTGATTTCTGTGTGCACCAGAAACGAAGCAATTGAATAATTACGATAGTGCTGTGATTACCGGGGATGCTGAAAGAGACAGGTGGATGAAGGAAACCCAGCAGACTCAGAACGATTATTTTAACACGTTATCTGTGTTCCAGTGGAGGGAGCTTAAGGGGGGTTAAAGTTAACTCGGTTCGTATAGGTTTTTCTCATTATCCCAGAAATGTTCACTGTTTCTGCTCCTCGTGCATCAATTTGTGTTCCCCCTTCCCGCCACATCTTCAGCTTGTATTTTCTATGCTCCTCATCTTTTTGTCTCCGACTGCTGATGCTTTTCTCCAAACGGCCACTTGGGGTCGTCCTTTCTGTCTGTTTGAGCGTAAAAACAGTCAAAGAAAAAAAGGCTTAATCTCCTTTAATCGTTACAAAATGTTCAAACAAAAACACGGTCCCTGTTACTGGACCAAAAAAAAAAAAGTCTTACAAGCCGATTCTTCGGCGCAGGCAGTCACTCCAAGAACAGGAGAGGAAATCAAAGCCCGTCTTTAAAACTGAACTGTAATTACAGTATATTTCCCCCTTTGCCCTGATACGTGAAATGGTCTATGTCAGGACTTTGGGGAGGTATTTTTAACTTGAGGTTTTCTTCGATTATATAACGACAGTTGGCGCGCTCTGACTGTGGGCAAATATATATATTTAATTTTCGTCTTTTCTTCCCAACCCTTCCTTTCGGTGCGTCTCTTTCTCTCACACACACACATGCACCGACTGTCCAACAGATCCAGTGTGTTGATTTCTGGGAAAGGGGACAATTAAAAGTTGCAAAAAGTTGCACTCGATCCGGATCCTTCCTCCCATCCACCCCCAAAGCGAGTGGTCAGAGACACACTTTGTTATACTTAGAACAAAGGAATAGCCAGCACGTGAACCCCTTTTTTTTTTAATGTGTAAATTGCAAGGGAAGGGAGGGAGACAGAAAAGGGGGGGGGCAGTTCGGGTAGAGAAAGTGGGAAGATTAAAACATGAAAGGGAAAAAAAGGTTTGGAGTTGCTGCCTGGTCTTGTTCTCCAGCTGCTAGTCAGCTGACTCGCTGGGAGCTGTCACATTGTAGGCGCCTGGCCCCTCCTTCGCCAGCTCCAAGATCTCCGCGGCCGAGCTCCCATTGGAGAGGCTGCCTGGCGGCGCCGGCCCCCTCTCCCTGAGTGTCATCAGACCAGGAATATAAGCGGCGAGGGGGGCCGCCTCGGAAATCACAGCTGCACCACAGGAGCGGGAGGCGGCAGCTAAAGCAGAGACAAGATCCCCCCCCCACCTCCCCCGCCCCTTCCTTGCGAGAGAGGAGAACAAAAAACTCAACCCACCGCCCCAGCCCGGCCAGCCTCCACCGACAGCGCCCGCCTGGAAAGTTGCAGCGGGCTCCGGCTCCGCTCCTGCCGGGCACGGGACAGGAGGCGCAGGACTTACAAAGCGAGCCCAGCCGGGCACAGAATCGCTCCTGCTTTTTCCTTGCGGAAGAGGCCAGCGACAAGCCCGGCGCTGCGCTGGGGTAGGGGGCTCCGGCGGCTGCCTTCCGTCCTCCTCGCCCGGGGGCGTTTCTTAGCCGGGGGGAGCCCCGGCAGCCTGCCTCGCATTGCAGGCGCCGCTCCGCCGCGCCTCGCGGCCCGGCTGCCTCCGCCTCCTCTGTTCGCTTGGCTCGGCTGCCCTCCGCGAGCCGGCAGCGGCAGAGTTGCCCTGGACTCCGCGGGAGAGCCAGACGGTGCCCTGGAGTGAGCCATGGCCGGCGAGCTGAGCATCGGACCCGAACTGCCCACCAGCCCCCTGGCCATGGAGTACGTCAACGACTTCGACCTGATGAAATTCGACGTGAAGAAGGAGCCCCTGGGCAGAGCCGACCGGCCCGGCCGCCACTGCACCCGCCTGCAGCCAGCCGGCTCCGTCTCCTCCCCCCCCATCAGCACGCCCTGCAGCTCCGTGCCCTCCTCGCCCAGCTTCAGCCCCACCGAGCAGAAGACCCACCTGGAGGACCTGTACTGGATGGCCAACAACTACCAGCAGATGAACCCCGAGGCGCTCAACCTCACCCCGGAGGACGCGGTGGAAGCCCTCATCGGGTCCCACCAAATGCCCCAGCAGCTGCAAAGCTTCGAGAGCTTCCGGGCCCACCACCACCACCACCATCAGCACCACCACCAGTACCCGGGCGTCACTCACGAAGACTTGGCCCCCAACGGCCACCCGCACCACCATCACCACCACCACCACCATCACCAGGCGTCCCCCACGCCCTCGACCTCCTCCACCTCCTCCCAGCAGCTGCCGAACGCCCACCAGCAGCACCCTGCCTCCAACAGCGTGGAGGACAGGTTCTCGGACGAACAGCTGGTTTCCATGTCGGTGCGGGAGCTCAACAGACACCTGAGGGGCTTCACCAAGGACGAGGTGATCCGCCTCAAGCAGAAGAGGCGGACGTTGAAGAACAGAGGCTATGCCCAGTCCTGCAGGTATAAGCGAGTCCAGCAGAAGCACCACCTGGAGAACGAGAAGACCCAGCTGATCCAGCAGGTGGAACAGCTCAAGCAAGAGGTGACCCGGCTGGCCAGAGAAAGAGATGCCTACAAGCTCAAGTGTGAGAAACTTGCCAGCACTGGCTTCAGGGAGGCTGGATCCACCAGCGACAACCCATCTTCTCCCGAGTTCTTCATGTGAGTCCTTTAAAAACACAACACTCCCCGGTCTTCCCCCACCCTTCCACCTCCCCGCTTCTCCTATCCTCCTCTGACATCTCCATCCATCTGCCTGCTTGAATAGCGAGAAAGAAGGGAGAGGAAGAAGAGAGACTTAATATTTGCAGCGTTCTGACTTATAGATTAGCTGTGAAAAGTAGGCTGGGGGCAGGTGGGAGCGAGAAAGTGAAACTTTTGTATCTTTAGCTTGCCAGCTAAAGAAAGAAACAGAAGAAAGGAAGGACATGTAACGCGTTTTTATAGATCGCTTGCTTTCAGAACTCTCTGGGCTCGATTTTTTTTTAAAGGACAATGAACAAGCGATCTATAACATATTGCCTGCTTGGGAGTAAAGGGAAGAAGACACATGCAGCAGCATCTCATGCACAATTTACCTGCTTGAAAAGGAGAATAAATCAAGGACAATATATGCAAACCCTCCATATATTGCCTGCTTTGAGAAATAGTTACGGGACTCAGATGGGACATTGAGTACAAGACAAGAAAAAAACATCAGTTTTATTGCCTGCTTGATTATATAGAAAAATACGAAAATCTGCATTAAAAATATTAATCCTGCATGCTGGACATGTATGGTAATAATTTCTATTTTGTACCATTTTCTTGTTTAACTTTAGCATGTTGATCATCGATCATAGCTTTGTTTCATTGATAAAAAAAAGCATCACAAGTTATCAAAACTTTTTACGGCTTGTGCAGTTTTGTTGGGGTTTTTGTTTGTTTTTTTGTTATAGTAGTTAGCTTGTAAATATCTGCCACATCAAACATCACAGGAAGGCAAAATAACATTTCATCAGGCTGGGTATATGGTTTCTTATTAAAGTAAGGAGATAAAAAAACGTTATGGGCATTTTGCATTTGCATTCAGAAAACAACTTTGTATATTTGGTGCACTTTTAAGTTGTATTTTTTTTCTTTGGTTTTCATTTTGGTTTTTGTTTGTTGGGGCAGAATAAAAGCAACTCCATTGCATTGACAAACCTAAACTTAATAATAGTGAGAGAGGCCAGCAGCCTAGACGCTATATCTTACTGCACAATATAAGTGACAGTGAACCCATTATTTTGTCTTCAGGGCAGTTATCAGTTAGTAGTGCTCTTAGGTTTGGCCATATTTTCCTCTGATTTATTATACACTCAGGAAACAAAGACTTTACAATATATTTTCTTTTAAGAAAGACTTGATTCTTGATTTCCAGAACACAGGATGTCCTAAGTCAGATGCAATCGCTGTAGGTAGCGCAGTACACACAACACCAACAACATGTATCAGTTCCTGTTCTGATTTAAGTTAGGTTTATCAATGGCAACAAAGGATGAAAGGGCTTGGAATGTATAGAAAACAAACGTTTTGAAAGAGACATACTGCAACTTAAGTGTATTATTTTGCAATGATCTGTAGTCTGCTTCTCTGCTTCCCCATGCAGCAAAAGTTCTAGCCAAATTTCTTTGCAGTTGTATAGTAGTAGTTTGGAGTGTTATGGGTGTTATTACTTCTTTTCCTCCTGCAGGTCAGAAAAAGGATTTTACGTTGCACTGACAAAAATACCAAAATGAAAACTTATTTTAGTTTCCTTTTAGGATTGCTGGCACTGCTGGCCGGATGCATTTTAAGTTTGTATTAGTTTATAAATTAACAGTAATAACAAGATTGTAATGAACAGCATGGTGCTTGCAGTTTTAAATATTGTGGATATTAGTCATGCATCAGAAAACGATCTTTGGTTTTTACTGATTCAACTGTGTTGAAATCAAAACATTGCAGCAGCGAAAAAAAATTGTTTTTATTTCATGTAAAGTTCTGAAGGGATCAATTTGAAATCCTGCTTATGATATGAAAAATATTAAAAAACCTGGTCTATTGTAGTTTTATTCAGACTGGTTTCTGTTTTTGGTTATTAAAATTGTTTCCTATTTTGCTTATTAAAATAATTGAAATGGCATTTCTCCGAGGGGTTTACTTCTCCAATGTCTTGTGTTTAAACTTTCTTGCATCTTAAATATAACAAAAAAGGCACGATCCAGCTAAACTGATCTTTGCCAGGCATCATTTGGTTTAAGAGAGATTTTTGGAAGTTGTTTTAGTTCTACAAAGCGGGTCATCATTGCCCACACAGCGGTACAGAGTTCCAAAATCCATCTCTAACCCTTAAGAGGGTTTACTCCCCACTGTAGTTTTGACTTCAAACCCTGCTCTAACACAACTTCATGGGAGTTACAACGTACTGATTGACGTTAGCTGCTTTAGCGTCTAACAGCCTGATGGCTCCTAGTGATGACACTTGCATGGACTCACTGTAGCAAACCTTAGCACGTTGGTCGTTTGCATGTTCCATTCAAGATGTGACGGTTTCGCTAGAGATGGAAGCTTCCAAAACTGCCTATGGGAAGCTGGTTTTAAAGGGTCCGCACTTTTACTTTCCCTGTAAACCTCCCCCCTCCCCCAAACGACTAACTTGCTCACGGCGTGGCCCTGTAGATAGTGTAGTTATTGATACAGAAGCACATGGGCCCACTTGAGTTGAACAGATATCCCTTTGGGAACTACATTGGAGGCTGGGGAGGGAGACGAACTCAAGTCTTTAAAATGTTTCCTTGGAGAATTTTAATAAAACACGTTTGGCACCTAAACGCGGGATGAGAACGGCTCCTGTAGAATCCGGGCTGAACACTCCACTCCCATTGTCTTTCTCGCCTCTCAATCTGCCCCGTTTGTTTGTTCTGGCATTGTCGAGCATGACAATATTAACTCCTTGTGTTCAGTAACAGCAGGTGCTCACAGAGCTTTTCGCTGGGAAAAGAGAAGACAACACCCGCGCTCTACTTCTTCCCCAGCCCCGAAACCGCCGCCCTCCCAACCGCTTAGCAATTGGTTGCTGTGAAGTCCACCGTGGATGAGACTCATTTATCTATGTCACTTGCAGGCAGCCTACAGTTCTGCTCAGAGCCCAGGTGTGGAAATTAGAAAGTTGCAAAGAAAGCTGTAAGCCTGGAAGTTTGAGGGGAGGCATTTCCCAAGAATGAACAGCGGATTTAACTTTAAACCCTTCTTTACAAAAAACACTCCAGATTATCCTCTCTTCCCAAGGGTAGCATGCTGCCCTTGCAGGAATGACACCGACACGCGGCATGTTTAGAAAACAAATCAGTTAAGAACAGAGTGTGGGAAAAAATGAAAAGCAAATACAGTAACTCCACAGCAAAATCCTCTCTTAAGCCCCACACACATCACTGCCTTGTCAGAGACAGGAAGCCCGGGTAATAGACACATTTCAGCTTTTAAGACAGGGCAGTATCCCAAACACCCCCGTGCAGAGACCGCTGCAGGAATAAAATGCTTGCAACACAGGGAAGGGGAGACAGGGGCCTATACAGAAAGAGATGTCAGAACCTTATTTGCCATGTATTGCCTCGCTCTTTGCCAACGGATGCATGCTATGGCTGCAGAAAGCGTGAGAGGAATATTGTTTGTGGGAACTGCCACCGCATATTAATGTCCTCTCATGCATGCATTGAATAAATCACTAGGGCTAATTGAACAACAAAAAAAATAGGGAAACAGGCCTGAGCGGAGCTCTACGGTGGCTTTAGCAGTCTGGATTCCCACAGAATAACTGTGTCTGTGGAAAGGTTTAAGGGGCAGAGGTTCATTTATGTAGGAAGTGTCTATGCAGTGTTTCGGGCTCTTAATGAATTTTAATTTATCTGATTTTTTTTAACCACCCTGCTCTGGCTTGTGGCCAGAGATCCGCCAACTAAACAAGAGAGCTCGCCACATAAGAAGGCTCCGTCCCCCCGGCTGGCTGAAGTGTGTGGACGGCCCTTGGCTTTGGAGAGCGATGGAACTTTCTGATTCGAACTAAAGCCAGCTGCGCGCGGGGACGCAGGGTGTCCCCTGAACTAATGAGACAGCATTAGTCCGCCTGGCTGCTTCCAGGGTACCATGAAGCACTGCAGCAGATTAAAGCTGCGTTAGCATTGCTCTTCTCCTCTGCAGGCGTCTTCGGAGGGCTCCGAAAGCTCACAGCGAGCGCCGCTTTCCTGGTTATTGCACGAGGGAAAACGATCCCCGGCCCATATTGCTTTGACGTGTGATCAGTGAGAACCCCACGACCGTCGCCCTCTCTGTGGAGAGGCAAATGACAGGGATTGTTTTTCGGGCGAGGTAGGCAGGCAGGGACGGGGGAAGTGATTTTTGGGGGGTAACATTGATGGAAAAGTTAAAGAATTATGAGCTAACCTGTAGAAAAATGATGTTCCGTTTGTGCGAACAGGGTAACAGACATATTTAAAGCTAACCTGGGAAATAGCCCACAGGGCAGCCCCCAAGCACAGAGGTTGGAAGTCGTTTCAGTAACACACGTGGCGAGGAATTCGAAGGGGAGCAGGCAGGGTGCCGAATAGTGCAGAAGGCGGAATTGTGTGATGACAGTAAGACAATCATCTTTAAAAATCAATCTAGGCTGCTCCCCAGAGCGTCTCCACATAGACTGTCTCTCTGAGCTGTTAAAAAGCGCACCGAGGGGGATACAAATTCATTCCACGCGTGGAACCAGCTCGCTGCAGACAAACACTGGCCAAACCTATTCGGAACCAGCAAGGGTTGTAACGAAGTCCTCCAAGATTGCTCGCTACCCTGCTTTGCCTTCCTTATCACGCGTGTCTATTTGCTAATCCTTGGCGCTTACTAAACATTGTTTCGGGACGCTTTTTTCGTCCTCCAGCAGCGAGCGGGTTAAATATTACCCCTGCTTGCGCTCAGCGAACACTAATGAAATCCCAGCATATTTACTTTTGTATCTCCCGGCTCATTATTGATTCATAAGGGGCTGTAGACACAGGAATCAGCGGGGATGATTGATGGCCCGATTCGGAAACAAGTTTCTTTACCCGCGGTGCATGAACAGCCCCTTGGAACGCAATCCACAGGTCCTGTCCGCAGGATGCTCCCGGACTCTCGCAGACGGCTGGGCTTTGAGGAGGACAGAGCCAGCCAGCCAGAGAGCTCCGTGGTTTTGTACAGAGACTACTGTACAGCCGATGCATTGGCTAACTGGTTTCAATTAGGGCTAAACAGACGCTGCAGTTTCAGCCTGGGTGAATAATAACTTTTTTCTTTAACCCATTTCTCTCCCTTACTCTCCCCCTCCCCTTCTAGATGTGATTTGTTTTGAGTCACGCAGCTAATGAGATGAAGGGAGAAACACACACACACACACACACTCACTCAGGACTTGAGGATAAAAGTGCAGCAGTACCCAGAAATGTGTGAGGCACTAGGAGAGGGATAGGAAAGAAATGGAGACCAGGGAGGTGAGCCAATGCTAGACACCCCTAACGACTTGCCTTCTCTTTACCCCCAACGCAGCGCTGAATATACAATACAGATTGATACTCAGGCACTATTAAGCGAAGGACTTTAAAGCACGAACTCTGAATCCAAGTCCACCCCACACCCACTTTCGCTGCCAAGGAAAAGATAAGCGTCAATCAAAGTGAAAGTGCTGCACACGGACCCGGTGCGCCTCGAAGTTCTTTTTTAATTCTGGGGCTGGTTTCTCGCCTGTCCCGGGGAACTTTGGCACGGATTTCAAGCGAAACAGGATATTTCACTCGAGTCCCTGCAATTCACTAAGCCAATTTGTCTGACTTCATGATTGTGCAGTCAACACGGGGTGTAGGCACACAGTTTAGACATCAAGCCCTGGTCTGAAATCCCACAGCTGGGCGGCAGGACGACAGTGGCATTGTGAGCGCACGTAGCGCAGGAGAAAGATTCCCTTCCGTGAAAAAAAAATCGCATTGTGGTGTTTGATCTCGCCGTTCTGCACGCCCTCTTGCCAACAGCTGTAGGGAGATTTGCACCGCTGCAGGATTCTCTCCCTTCTGGACAGAGGTGATTACTCTCGAGGGCTGCTCCCAAGATGAAAAGAGAGGAAAACAATTGGCAACTTTTTACACAATTGAAACGCATAAGGGCCAAGCAATTTATACACAATTGCCAATAAAAGAAAGAGCATGTCACAATTTTCTCAGATTAAATAATAAAAAAAAAAACAACAGAGGAAGGAGGCGAAGATTTTTGGACTAAAGATAGAAACACCCGGCTAAGACTTTCCAGAGATGCTGGCGGCTCTTGCAGTACAGTAGATGAGGGCTCAGCATTAGGGTGGGTAGTCTAGATGTGTTATTAGGATGAGCCAGGGCTTGCGAGATAACTGTTCCCAGCTGTTTTAGGTTTTAATTTTTTAAGTTGGCTAAACGCCAGTCTCGCTGTAGCAGGCTGGTTGGTTTTGGTGATTGACAGAGCAAGGTCACTGAAGCTCTTCAGGGGTATTGGTGTCAGGTTTCAGAGGAGAAAGATAGAGCATCTTACAGCTAGGAAGAGGGTTTTTTTTTTTCCGTGGTGAAGCCCCATAAGCAAAGAAACCAGGGGCAGGCATTTTCCCCTGTCTGTGCAGTTTAAGACAGGATTGTTTTGCTCAGCCATGTTACTGGAAATGGGACTGACAAGTGGGTTTGCAATCACTGGCATTACAGATCACAAGGAGTTGATCTGTAAGAGACATATATGTGCATGCCTTCCAAGGAGCGGTGCTTGTGCTGTTTCCAAGTCACAATGCTTTGCAAACTGTCAACATTGGTGCAGCTGCTATCTTCTGAAAGATAAGTTCCCTTTTTTTGGGTAGTTCTGATCTACTTCTTATACAAAAGATAAGATGTTTAAGAATATTTTCCCAGCTGTGTTTTTAAAAAATGTGAATTTTTCTTTTCGTCTATTTGGAGCACAGATTTTTTAAAAAATGGTTATTTTTCACTCCATTACAGTTATAGCCAATCTGATTTTTTTTAAACACAAATCCCCC